GTGAATACGTACAACACGGGGCAGAAAGTGAGAGATGACATCACAGAAAGTCAGAGGAGGAGCCACGGACACTCTGATGGTGGTGCCCTTTGCTGAGAAGCTTGGGGAGACCCTCCCGGAGGAGAAACAAAGGCTCAGACCTCAGAAGCCTGGACACCAGGAGGCCACCACGGACCATCAGCAGAGGGTCCAACAGAGGCAGAGGTACTGGAGATGCAGGGGGAGAAGCGGGGGCCTTCCCAGCAGCAGAAGGACAGGTGCCTGGGAGCTGGGGAGGTGGGGCAGAACTCGGCCCCAGCGAGCCCCGAATGCTGAGTTTGGAAGCCCATGAGTGTGCCCCAACACCCACCACGCCCATCAGACACGGCTGTGTGGATAGGGGTGCAGTACAGCTGTTCAGCATCCATCCTCTGCCAGGCAAGCCCCCGCCATCTCCGAAGGATCACATCAGCATCACAGGGCAACAACAGGAACAAAAAGGGGGACGTAACTTGACGAGGTCACACCAAAGGTGACCTCCAAGGTCAGGATCCAACCCCACACAGCAGGTGGTCCATGCCCAAAGGGTAAAGGTCAGAGAGAGCCTCTTCTGATGCAAGTCATAGAAATAGAGTTTGGTCATTTGTTCTTAAGGAATGAGAATGCAGTGAAATTATTATTATCGATGGTACGACATGATACTTTGAGAATTCTATACTTTTCAAATGATTCCATGTGCATTATTCATTAGACCCTCAGGATAGCCCTGACCCTTCAGCAAGTCAGATATAGTTACTATTACTACTAATTATTACTATTCTCACTACGATTCTAGATTTTTCAGGGGCAGACTCAAAGGAATTAAGAATGTCTCCAAAGGAGCAACAGCTAATTAGCCAGGACTCAGACTAGCATCTCTTGAATGAATTTCAAGATTTTGGGGAAACGGGGAGGAAGGATTCTATTGGATAGAAGTGTCTAGAAGACCAGTGTTTTCAAACCAAACCAGCTAGTCTAAAGCTCCCTCCCACTGCATCCCGAACACACCGCTGGCCTCTGGGCCGTCTGAGGGGGAACTTAAAGCAAGTCAGGACACGGGTCTGATTCAGACTTCTACTGTGAACCTGCTTGAGTCAGATTTTTCTTCTGTAACAAGAGGCGGTTGAAGATGTAAGCCTCCTGCCAGTGTAGACATTTCTCTGAGCCTTAGGGCCAGAGTCAGGAAGCGAGTTGTCTTCACTAAGAACCGGGACGACCTTGAAGTCATTTCCGCAAGGCGGTGGGACCCACCTGCCCGCTTGCTCCCCCAGGCCCGAAGCTCCTCTCTGCTGGGGGAGTGAGTTCACCACCTGGGCTGGTCCTGCGCAGACAGGCCTGGGCAGGCTGGGTGTTGTGCCCCGGGCCAGGCTGTGAACAAAGAGGAATTCAAGAAGGGATGGCCCGCAGGAATTCGTATCTGTCGTCATTGTGCCTCAGTGAAATCCAGGTAACCAGCAACCCTAGAGAAGAGTCAGTGACCAAGCAGAAGAAGCTGTCGCTGTAGAAACAGGGCTTCTGGAGGGGCCGGGGCACTCACACTGGGGATCGCTCCCCGGATGATTTTGGAATCCCCCAAGTTTGTTTGCGTGAGTGTACACACGATGTCTAAGACCGTTCACTAAGCTGTGTGGATGAATCATCCACTGCTCCTGCCCTCAGCAGCACCTGCTTCCGCCCTCACCCACGGCAACCTGGCTTCCGTGAGCCCGGTCAACGCCCCCACCAGCACCTGGTGCTCCCCGTGGGGACAGCTGCCTCCTCCCTTTGCCACTTGCCCTCCTTTTGCAATGTACACACGCTGTGAAGGGACTCTAGAAATAGGTCTTTCCTCAATAAAATTCTCCGCACGTGCATTAATTTCTGTCCTTCGAAACAGCAGCCAGAGAGCCAGCAAACAGTGACTGCCCTTGGTCATTGCTGGGAAGATAAAGGATTATTAAACGAGGGACCAGCTGCTGGCCAATTACACCTTCCAGGCCAGGCGTGCAAGCAGGCTGGTCTGGCATTGCCCTCTGCCTTGTGGGAAGATGCTAACAGCAATCTTCGGCTGTAATTACTGTCTGGTCCCTTTTCCCCGGACCACGTTTGCATAAGTTCTCAGCCTGAAAGTCGAAGAGAAATGGAATCAGACACGTAAACACGACCTTTCAATCACTTGAAAAAGGTACCCTCTCTCTTGCCAAGACACAGCAGCCTCACTTGGAGCAATCTTGAGCTCTGAGCTGTGAAGAATTGCTGTCGGTAGGAAGAAGCGTCAGCTCTGGAATTCAATTAACTGTCAGCACTGCTGTTTTGAGTCTGGATGAGTCACTTCTCTTCAGCAAACGGGCACGGGGGCTGTGAGCCTCCAAGATGAATGGTGATTGATAAGTGCTGGAGAACCAGGACTCGAAGGCTCCAGGAGCCCTTCCCTCACCCACACGTGTTTTTACATGAAAATGTAATACAGAGACATTGGGAGAGAACGTGTGAATACACGGGAGATGCTGCTGCGAATCTGCTTCCAGCCTCTCCCTTTCTATGTGTAAGTTTCACTGAGTTCTGAGCTGGCAAAGAGCAGGCACTGTGTTTTATTTCTTCTCTCTCATGCCCAAATGAATGCTTAAGGGGAGAAGAAAGGGTGTTAACTGGTACCCCATGCATATCCAGTGAATGAAGGGAAGTGCCTTGCTAAGGAGAGAGCGAGCCAGGACTCAGCCCTGGAAAGGCGGCCGAGAACGCCTGCCCTAGCCGTTGCCCTTGAAGGGTAGGGCGCACCATTCTCTACTTGACGTGTAAAGTACAGCGTGGGTCTGGAAAAGATGAAGGTGTGTTTCCTGTTCTATCAATGGTGCATATGCAATCTACATACAATACACAACTCATGCAATATACAGTAGTTCATCCAACATCCAACAGGCAAAACCTGCCTGGCCCTTTCTCTCGGTCACTTGAGTGGTTCAGGCCACGGCGGGTGGGTCTGGTCGGTGGTGTCACCTGTCAGTTTCCCCCAGCTCCACCTTGTGTCTTCCAGAATCCCCTGTCCCTCGTTGTGGTTTTGTATTTGCAGATGCAATCTACGAAAGCATTCAAAGGGAATAGGAACACTTTGGTGAAGAAGAATAGAAAAATGAACCCCAAACTGGGATCACTTAAAATTCCTTCAAGACTTGAGGATGAATGAAAACACAAGAACAGAAGTCCAAGGTGAATTTGTCCCCCATGCTTAGAAGGACCAGGTTGGGGATGTCACGTGCTGGGAGAAATCCGTCAGGGTGGCTGCGCAGGCAGGCAGACAGCACGCCAGGGGCAGAAAGGATGAAATAAGATGCTCTGAACACAAGAGAGATGGCGGCTGTGAAAGCACTGGCCCCTTTTCACACACTTGGTAAACCTCAGGTCCAGAAGAGACCGTGGTGAGGAGAATGACCCCAACGTGGTCCCTGCATGCAAATTAGAACTTGGTATCGCTGCTCTTAGCTGCAGCAATTTTCGGTTGGGCCCATTTTGTGTTAGAACTCCCCGACGCACCACAGTATCGCAGCTTTTTGCTTCCTTTGCCTTTGTCTTGGCTTTCCTTCCTCGTCTCCCTGCAAAAACCAACCCTCCTTGCTCTCCCAGCTTCACAAAGAGAAAACACGATTCCAAGAGGAAGTCACTTCACAGCAAGGGAGCACTGGGAAGAATTCAAGACTGAGGAGCTCTTGTAATGAGATTAAGGGGAAAATGCTTTTGTGCGTCCAACTCAGACCCGTCCTGTCCTCGCTGTGGCGGATGGAGCCAAAACACACACGGGCATTGTTTTGGGAAGGAAGAGGTTAACAAGCTATGAAAACAAAATTAGAGATATTTTCAAAGCCTGACCCTTGGAGGCGGAGGCAGCAGCGGCGGGATGGGCAGAACACAGCCTGCTGGGGCAGGGGCCTCTCCCCTCCTCTCTGACGCGGACCCCGCAGCCTGCGGGGTGCGGGGAGCAGCCCAGGCTGTGATGTTCCTAACAGACAACAGGGATGCTGCTGTCTCCATGGCCGGTGGGCTGCATCCATCAGGCAGAGGCAGGAAAGCCTGGATCCAGGGGAAAGACACCCGTCTCCTTGGCCTCTTCTCAGAAATGAGCTTAGAAAAAATTCTTTGTGGATCCGGCAGAGCTTGGAGCCCGTACTTCATCCAGCCTCTGGCAAAAGCACTAGTCTGCAAATAGAAATACTGAGCTTGTGTCCGGACTCAGGGGTAAAGCCCCCACGTGCCTCAGTTTCCTCATTCAGTCAATTAAAATGCATCGGGCATCTGCTGTGGACCAGGCGGAGGGCTTCCTGCTGTGGGTAGAAAGCTGAAGGGCCCCCAGCCTGGTCTTTAGGGGACTTTCAGTCCAGTGAGGAAACAGATACCCAAATTGATAGTTATCATTGCAGATAGGAAGCATCTTTAACTAACTTTTATCAAATGGAATGAGTATGATGGGTTTCCAAATACAGTTGCAATGGGGTAATACCAGTGGACATTTGATACTCAAGTAGAATGTTGCGTGCGCGCACGCGCACTCATCTATGTGTGAGCGCGCACGCGTATGTGCGTGTGTGTGCACGCATGTGTGTGCACGCGTGTGTATGCCTGCATATGTGTGTGCGTGCATGTGTGTGCGCGCGTGTGCGTGTGTGTGTAACGGGGGGGCTGGTGCCCATCACCCTCTGTAGGAGTGGAGCCTGCAAACTCACTTCCGTAGTCTAAGCCAGAATATGGTGATGGAGGCTGTCACCCCAAAGTACGGAGGCGCTGCTGTGATGTGCGTGGAGGGGCCAAAATGAAGTAACAGGGATGCATCCTAGCCCCTCTTCATCCCCGAAAGATCGCCAGTCCCAACAGGGCCCAGACGGTCTTCGCTGAACTCAATGCACACAGACGCCAGCACGCATCATAAATGCTGTTGGTGATGCTGCCGAGAGGCTTTATAAACAGAACCGAGAGCCCAAGACAGAGAAAGTGATAAGAGCATCCAGGTGTCGTCGGCAGTGGGTTCCGTGACAGGATGCAAGCTCTCCCTCCTCACATTAAAGCCGCAGCCCTGCCCCGCCGAGAAGGACTGATCGTGCCGTTTCACAGGAGCGTTCCGACCTTTGCTCAGACTGAGAGGGTGTGGCTTATCCTCAACGTCTCCATGATTATTTTACGCCCGAAACTTCCCCGCCCCGGCTGGTGATTTCCCCAGATCAGAATGCATGGGATTCCTCTACATGCAGTGGAAAGGGGAGATGTCACAGGGCACGCGGAGCAGCGGCCCTACGGGCGAGGACTGGTCTACAGTGGGGGCTCCCGTCATTGCCTGATGGCCCGTCCTTGTTCTCAGACCTGCAGTAACTGGCCAAGAAATTCGGTACCTCTTGAGAGTAACTTTGGTGTGGAGGCAAGAACAGTTAGGCCCTCCTTCCTTCTGGCCGCAGGGGAAGGCTTGCTGGTAATTCAGCTTTGGGCCCTCTGGTTAACTTCCGGTTAAGAATTAGTTCCCAAGACTTTTGTCAACAGAACGTGAAGTTTTTCCGGCTTTTTATTTCCAGTTCTGTACACAAGGTTTGAATTCTCCCTTCAGATAAAGTGCTTGTTTCAAACTTGCCGTTTTCCTCCGACACACGGTCTGTCGGCCCGCGTTGGTCCTTCCGTGCTTCTGGGTTGCCTCCCTCCTCCGGCCCAGCCCGCCCGCTCGGGAACGTCTGCGGCGGCGGCTGATACGGCATTTACTCCACCAGGCGTCTTAACGGGAAGGAGGAACCTTGCCCTCTCCTTTCGTTCCCCTGATGTTTGAGGCTTACACCTGAAACCTTAACAGTCACACTTATTTATACATGTCCTAAAACCTGTCCCACGTTCAAAAGACATCCAGAGGCCCTCTTGACGTCTCTGTGAGGCAAACGAAAGACCCCAGCCCCTCACCCTCCCAGGCCCCACCCACAGCCTCCCCATCTCAGGCGGGGGTGGGGGGCTCCTTTCTTCAGCTGTCCAGGCCCCAGATCTTGGAGCCATCCTTGCCTTCTCTCTTCCCCTTAGACCCTGCCTTCCGACTGTCAGGAGTTCCCACTTGCTTCCTTGAAATATATCCAGGGCCTGGCTAGGCCTCATCTCCTCCACTGCTGTCACCCTACGTCACCACCATGTCGCCAGGCTTACAAGCAGCGGCCTCCAACAGGCGTCTGTGTGCCTCTCTTTGACCCTACACCCTCCCCTCACGCCAGCCAGAGGGACTCCCAGCCTGGAACATGTAAGGCAAGTGCTGGGACACCTGCTTGGAGCCCTGTAAGAAGCTCCCGGCTCCCGCAGGGCGCAGCCGAAACCATCACACCCGCCTTTATTCTCTCTCCAACTGTCTCTGGTCTCACTCCGCACGGCCTCCTCGCTGTCGCTCTGACAAGCCAGACACACTTCTGCCGTAGGGCCTTGTCTCACCTGCTCATACTGTATGGGGCTTTCTCCCCCAGTACGCCCTGGCTGAGTCCTTCACTGAGTGCTGGCTCTGTCCTCCGGGGGCCTACTCTGACCTCGGCTGAACTTGCCGGCATCACTGCCCCCCAACCCTTCCGCTTGCCCCAGCACCCTGCTCTCTCGTCTCCCACCCTGCCTTTTATTTTTGTTCCATAGCACTCCCCCTTGCCTCCCACGAGGTCCAGGATCTTGGTTTTATTTACTGATGTTCCCCTAGCCCGGGAGCTGTACCTGCCATAGTAGGTACTCAGTAAATATTTGTCAAATGAGTCAATGACTCAGGGGCTTGGCGCACGATGTTGGAAAGAACAAGGGTTTGAAACCAGGTGGACAGGTTGAAGTCCGGCCACTCACTAGCTATGGGACCTTGGGCCAATCACTTTAACCTTCTGAGCCAGTTATATAAAATCATGACTATAAAGCACCGAAGATAAAGCCTGAGGCATGTAAACACTCCATATGTGGCAGTTAGGGTGTTGTTATGATGGTTCATCTGCTGACACCTGCTGTGACACGGCAGTAGCCTCTGAGAATGACCTGTTTCCGCCCCCCCTTCTCAACTAGGCCCATAAACCAAGGACTGGGTGGATGGTCTTTGGCACCTGCCCTGCTTCCTCCATGCTGATCCCTGTGGTCTTTCTGTTTAGTAAGAGGGAGGTGGTGAGAAGGAATGAGATTGCCACAGCAATAAGTTACTTGGCGATACTGAGCGCCAACCCAGGCCAGTGAAACTGCAGCTGTAACTGCAGGTCAGTGGCAGGGAATTGCTAAGTAATGAAGAGGTCTTGTCCAGAAGTGGTGAGGTAACCATCCCTAGAGGTATTCAAGACAAAACTGGACCACCACTTATCGATTGGAGGACCAGGCTCTCATTAGGCCCCTTCCTAAGATCTGTGATGGCAGTGAGCTGCCCTCTTCAACCACCATCCCCATCACGAACTTGACCAGGTTCTTGGCTTGCAGAGACAGAGCCCTATCTTCCCACAGTTTCCAGCACTCGAGCAGTCACTGAAGGATAAAGACACAAAACAAAGGCAAGTACTAAAGTATAAATCCAATGTAACCAGGAAATTTAGGAAAGCCAGATTATAGATGCAAGGTGAAACACGGCAATACTGATGATTCAAGGAAAATAAAGCATGCTTGGGGGGCAATATCCAACCCTTTCTTGCTTTTGCTCAGGGAAGACCAGCCTAGACAGGCACTCTGAATGATGGGAAGGTGTGAGCAGGGAAAAAGAAGGCAGGGAAAATGCCTTCCATTTTGGAAAGTGTGGGAGTTTTGGACACGGTCTATGATTGCTGAATATGCAAGGATTAAAAAAAAATGCGTCTGTACTAAGAAGGCTTCCAGAAATACAGAAAGCCCAGGCTCAAAATCACACTGCTGTTTCTGTGATGCTTCCCGGCAGTTCTTTGCAATGCCCCCCCCCCAAAGTGGTCCATAACCAGAGTGTGTTGCCGTAGCAACAGGCTCAGCAGGGGAGCCGCTCAGCGGTACCCAGTAATTCACATCTGTGCTTGTGCCTCTCCCTCCCTCGCCTCCCTTTTTATCTGAAAATGGAAAGCAGCTCGTGAGTGATGCTACCTTGCAGCTGACAGTTCCTAGAAAAAGGGCAGAGGAGGCTTTCTTTGGGGGGATATTTCCCCTCCATAGAGTTCTTTTTCCCTCTCCACAGGCCGCACGATTTCACCCAGGGTGGAAGGAGATGGCTCAGAGAGGCCCGTAGCTGGGGGTGTGTGGAGCCCCCCAGGAAGGCTGGGAGCTGGCCACAGCATCTAACACTTGCTGCAGGAGAGGCTCTTCTCCCGAGGCTGAGGAGTCGGCCTGCAGGTTGTTACAAGCTCCCTTTGACGTCAGGGGGTCCGACAGGTGGAGGTGAGAGCCCACACTCCCACCCTCACTGCTGTAGCCACACCCTTCACTTGATGCCCTTGACTGCTTGCTCTTGCATCGCGTCTTGATCTTTTCCTTTCCTTCCTTGTTTTTAAATTCTCCGTATCACAGTCCAAAGCAATGGACCACCGAGCTGGCCGGGTCAAGGATGTGGCCATTCAAGTTTGACTCTGTGAGGTCCCAAGCAACGATTCAGGGGCATCCCACTCACCTCTTGCTCACTTGTCCTTCCTGTGAGATTAACCATCCATTCATTCTGGTCTGTGCTGAATGGATGACGATAAAAGTGCCCAGCCTCTGCTAAACAGTTGATCCCCGTAGAAAAAGATCTTTGAACCTTTGAACCACCCAAATCTGAGTGTGATGGGGTCATCACTGTGTGGCCTGTTTTTAGGATATCATTTGTTGCTGTGGTCTAGAGCTTGGATGGTTTCTTGCCTCTATTATTCTTTGCTTTTTAAAAAATGTCAGATATCTCTTCACTTATTAAATAAGCTATCTAGTCATGTTAGTAGGATTTAAAATACTCCAAAGACTGTTGTGAAATGTTTCCCTCCCATTCCTGTCCCTCAGACACCGGTTCCCCTTCCAAGAGCCCACCCGTATTACCAGTTAGTATCAGAGGTGCTTGACGTGCTCACAGGCAAACGCGTTTGTGCCTTTTCTTTTCTGTTTCCTTTTAATATTGATTCCTAAAGAGTGGGGTCTTGGGATCTGAAAGGTCCTACTCGGTGAACACACCTTGACCTGTACTGTGTCCGATTTGCTTTACCGATGAACTCTCTACTTTGTGCAAGTATCTGCATGCGGACTAAGTAAGTAAATTCTTGGGTAATCACAGACCTCCTCTTTTTTTTTTTTAATTTTAAGAATCACCTCCCTCCCTATCATTTCCCAGGATGACGGAGAAGGGGCACAGAGAGCCAGGTTGGGTTTGTTCCGTTCTGCCAGCAAGGAGCAGGTGTGCAGGACTCCTGGTCAGGTGGAGATGGTACAGTGGTGGGGAAATGGCCGTCGCAAGCCTGAAGCAGGCTCCCTTTGGAGAAGCATGATCCATCCCACAAATTCCAAAGGCAGGGAAATGCTGGCTGCCTTTCTTGGAGGAGCTGGGTTTTTGTAGCCTTGTCCTCCTTCATGAAGGAGAGAACTGGTATGGGGAGCAGCATCTCCTGGCTGCACTTGGAATTGACCAGATTGCTCAGTCAACTACAACAGACTCCGTATTTGTGTCTGAGGTGCTCAGAATGGCTCGTGTGGGCAGACGGGGCCTGAGTCAGCCAGTCAGTGGCATCTACCACATGCTCCCTGGGTACAGAGCACAGAGCTGTGAGCTGTGGGACCAGCGATGAGAAATCTGTTGGTCAGGCCCACCCCCGAGGAGCTGAGAATCTGAGGGAACCAGAAAAGACAGCTATGCCCGAGAAAAAGACTCAGAAGCCCATTCGCACAGACACAGAAGCTGGACAAGTGAGCGCATCGGGGTTGATGCTGCCTGCGGTCCAGCCTGGGCCTGAGACAAGGTCCCTACCGTGGATCCTTTCTTTTGGGAAAAGGTGGCAAGGACTCTCTGCCACACCCGAGCAGGAACACAGGCAGTTGTCAGTCGAGCTGTTACGAGGAAGAGGACCCAGGCTTTGCAGAAACAGGCCTGGGAGGGACCCTGCTACTTTGACAGGTTTCTAACGCGCTCTGAGGTTAGTCTCCTCATTTGTAATTCCGGGACAACTGCATGCCCTGCAGCTGTGGTAAGGCTGCCGAGTGCCTGCCCAGTCCTGGCAGAGATGGGCACTCCGCGAGTGGCAGTGTTGGTCATTATTCCAGAGACCCTTCTGAAGTCACGCCCTCTGGGTGTATACAGGGAGAAGCGACTCATTGCTTTTTAAGAAAGATGAGAAGCCAGGAGATGAAGCCACAGTTCAGAAGCCAGGAAGCAGCCAGGGTCTGTTGGATGGGCCGCCGGCGGGTGGGACTGGGGAGCAGGGAGGACTGAGGACCAGGAAGCCCGGAAATGACCCTGTAGCACATTCTGGGTTAAGTGAAGGAAGCTTCTGTTTCTTTTCCGTGAGGCCATTTGAAGACTGTGGGCTTCTCAATGACTGGGTGTATCTGTGAAGATGTGTTTGATAATTAGGATGAAGCTGTTTTGCAAATGTTGCTACCACTGCCATGACTGTCACCTGGGCATCACTATGGCTGCTCCCCTGAATTACTGAGCAGCCTCCCCACCAGCCTTTCACCCTCGCCCCTGCAGCCTGGTCTCAGCTCTGAGGCTGGAGGGACCTGCTTAGACATGAGTGGGACCTTGTCCCGCTTTATGGCCTCCCAGTGGCTCCCATCTCGCTCGGCAGGGAAGCCTGGGTCCTTACAGTGGCCTATGAGGCCCTTGTCCTTGACAAGTTAGATCTGGTCACCGCCCCCATCACCGTCTGGGCTGGGGGGCTTCACATGCAGGTCAGGGGCCCTTCCTGTCCCACACCCTCAACACACACGTGCCCCCTGCTGTGCCCACAGGCACAGAGAGAATGCTTTTCCATTGAAAATTTGAAATTACTGCCTGCCGTGATGGTCTCCTAACTGTGTGTTTGCCGAGTCTAATCACCAGTTGTGTGGTTCAATGCTTGCGTGAGTTCTAGCGAATCCCGCAGCTGCGAATATGTGCAAACAGATCCGTGCTTGCGTCTGTTCGCAAGTGAGGATGCCCGAGGGGTTGGCTTTTCACTCTTTGTCACCAGCTCAGGCCACAGGCCTGGGCCACAGTAAAAGCATAACTCAGCACCAGGGAAACTCTGGACCTGTCTTTCCGAGACGCCCTTTTTCTTTTTTCCCTTTTTTCCCCTCCTCCTGCTGGTTTTACTGCATTCCCGTTTGATGGTGAAAGAACCAGATCAATGCAGCGTCAGAGGGTTTGTCTGGCGGGGCCTTTGTCGCGGCCGGTGTCAGCGCTGATGTGGGTCTGATGTGAAGAGCTGGAGGCTGGGCCTCCTTTGTTTCTGGTGGTTCCTTTGGTTTTCATCTTCACATTTCTGGAGGATTGGTTTTGCCCGTCAGGAACGGCGTGCGGCGGAAGGTGTCCTTCCTTCCACTGAGCTCGTAGCTCAGAGAGCGTTTTCTGGGGACATGGCGACGTGCACGCATTGTAAGGCGTCTTTGGTGGTGGTTCCTCCCTCCGGGCAGTTGCCTGGCCCTGCTCTGTCCATTCCTTCTCTGTGCTGTAAAGATCCCAGGCTTGGCTGACTGTCTGCTCCAGGGCCCGCATGTCTCCAGGAGAAGCGAATCTGGGGCTTGCTGTGAGGTCTCCATGTGCCCGAGGCCGTGCACCGGGCTCCACGGGGCCTGTGGTTCGGTGAGCCTGCCCTGAAGGAAGCAGACACACCTCAGTTTCTCCCGAGTGACCAGTCTTTGGCTCAGAAGCCCACTCACTCTCTGGCCTGCAGAAAGCCACCGTGCCCAGTGCTGGAAGGGCTTCCCTCCCTGCAAGGTGCACCCAGCTGGCCCACAGATGCCCCTAAGCAGCCTGCAGTGCATGCGGCCTGAACGTAGCCATAGCATCTTCCCTGAGAGCTGGGCTGACTCTCTCTGGCTCTGGGTGCCATGGAGATACCCTCCTCCCCACCCACCGCGGCCTCGGGGGAGCGGTCTGCCCTGGGGCCAGGCTGGGCAGGGTTGCTGTGGACTGTTGTGCAGGATGTGCCATCAACTGCTGGCCGGTCTGGGCAGGAATCACCACCTGGAGACCGGGCATCCTTCTCCTCAACCACGGGTCGTACCAACGAATCAGAACTCTCCCCAAGAACCAGGGCGTGCTGCCTCCAATGCTTTTCTTGATCCCCTTACTCCATGTGACTTCCCTAATATCTCACTCTCTTCCATGTGACTTTGCACCAGGTGATACATAATAAATGTACACAAACTGGGCAAAATCCAGGCAGCCGAAGCCAGCCCTCGACCTTTGCGGGAGCTGCTTCACTTGCCTGACATAAACAGCAGCAGATAAACACATGCCAAGGTGATCTGTGGCTCAGGAAACAAGAGCCCGGCCCAGCATGACTGGGCCGGGCCGGGTGCGCGTTTCCCAGCCTGCCTGCCCTTATCTGCCGAAGGGTGTTCCTGGACCAGGCGGGGAGGGCAGGCCAGGGGTTGAATAGACTGCTTTTATTCTTTCTGCTTGATACTTCCTGCAGTTTTATGTTATCTCATGCAGTTATAAAGGGATTAGATAATATACATGTTTGCCTTTCCCTGATTATATACAGTATCGCTTGGCTAAAAATCTACACGGCTGCAAGGATACATTCTGGCTCAAACGTTAAGAGACTTTTCCCATTATCTTTAGAAACAAAAAATTTAAAAAAAATCCCAGCCTCCCCCTGCAATTGCACATAAAGTGAGGTAAACGTGTTCGCCACTGCAGTAAAAGCCACCGTTAGCAAAATTAGATGCTCCAGCTTTGGGCCACGAAGAAACAGCATCCCAGAATGGGTCATTTTCTGGGGTGCTCGCAGGCCTTTGCTTCACCAGGGTGGTGGACGGCTGTGTGAGCCGCTGGATCACAGCTGTTTGGTGGGTCCACGTGGCCCTGAGACCACTTGCGTTTTCAGCCATGTGTAAAGCTAAGCTTGATTTTTCTGAGGAGCTGGGATTTGGAGCCCGTTTCAGGGACTTCCTGAGGGGGTCTCTTAGTTTGCCTCTCGGGGGGCTCATCCCTTCCCTCCAGGTTCAGTCCACCGAGAAGAGATTTCTGGTCCTTGTAGCCAGATCATGTGTCCTGCCAGGTTCTACGGAGGACCCCGGGGAAACGTGGGAGGCAGCTTCGACCCTCAAGAAGCTCACACATGGGGGTGGAAGGCGAGGTGCACGGTGGCCACACACACACGAGGGAACCGGCACTGATACAACTGATGGCGTGTAACGATGCCCTGTGTAGCCAGATCGCGCATCTGCATGTGTGCAGAGCGGATGGACACGGAGCCCTGGGTCCAGCCTGCAGACTCAGAGCCCAACCCTGCCATCCACAGAGTTAGTAAGTGCTTCCCCCCTTAGGATGCTGACGTAATCTGTTGTCCCCAGTATTTGTCCGGCTCTGCCATGCGTTGCCAGGGGCAATGAGTTATTTTTCAAATTTATCTGCCGTGGCTGTCACTTGATGGCAGACTCATCAGATGCTTTGGAGATGTCATCTCCCAAAATGGGGAAATTAAGGCAGTTGGAGGAGTCTGTGACTCACCCAAGGCCACCAGGTTCCCTGTTCATCCTGGGGCTCAAAAGCCAGCCCTGGGCTTGAGGGAAGAACAGTCAGCCCCTGGCGCCAAACCAGGGGCCCCGACAGCATGGGAAGGGAACCGAGTGGCCCCTACATCTGGGCTTCTGGAGTCCCACGGCCTGTCTCGGCAGACAAGTGAGGGAAACACTCCCCTCTGCCTTCAGGTCCGGTCCCAGGTTTCTGACAAAGAGGCCAATGCAAGCGCTGAGGGTGACATCAGCACAGACTGATGTCCCGGGCTCACTCTGTGGGAAGCAAGAAGGTTCCTGGTTTGAGCAGACGCCTTCTTGTGCAACCAGTAAGGACAAGGAAGCAGCCTAAACTCAGGTTGGGCTTGCCGTCACACGGGCACGCCGCCGGCCTTCCGGGCTGGCCTTCGGGTGGGGAAGGAGGCCTGGAAGCGTTTTGAGGGTTCCCTGGAGTGTCACGCAGGCCCACCACAGAGGTGGCCCCAGGGCCGGCAGAGGACACCAGAGACTTGGGCGGTAAGCCCACCAGTGCCATGCACTCGCTCTGTGGCCCTGGTGGTCAACCTGAATGGCCAGTCATCATCTGGGCGGTGGGGATGGCAGCAGCTGTCCCCCCGGCCTCCTGGAATGTAGCAAGCATCACGCACAGATGAAGGTGACCTCACACAGGGCGGTGGGGCTCGTCCTCTCTGCGTCTTGCAGGGGGAGGCCTGGTTGCACACGTGGAGCAAGCTAGAGAGGGAAAAATGACCAGCCCGTTGCCGAATCCCAGAGGCGTTTAGGGGGCACGGATTTAAACCAACGGCAGGTGTGGTCACCTGATCCACCTCGTGACAGCTGGTACCAGGAACACGCACGTCTCACAAACATCCACTTGTGAGGGCAACCTGAGTCTCTTTATAAATCCTCAGCACTGCTTTCCCAAATAGCAGGGTCTAGTTCCAGTCAGTCCTGCCAGAACGCCCAGAGAGGGCTTCTCGGGGCCCAGCTGGTCCTGTAAGTTCCACAGATTTGGGGACTGATCATTGCACATGCCTCTTACCTCCTGGATCAGGCTTCAGAGTCTCTGAAACCAGCCAGATGGAGCTAAAAAGACATTTATGAAAATGGCCCCCATCTTTGCCTCCCCCTGCGAACAGCCCATCCGAACGCCCCACGGAGAGCTCTGTGCAGGAGACGGCGGGGAGGAGGTGTGGGGGCGGGGGTGCAGGGTGAGGGGGCTGGCAGTGCCTCCCCAGGGCTGTCTTATACGCATCTCTGGTTCAGGCCTGAGCTCCAGGTAATGAAGATAAATCCTGTCCCCATTAAAGCCGCCACAGTACTTTGGAGCCGGCGTCTCAAGTTGGAGCATTTTATTTGGTGATCATTCCAGCATCCTTCACTTAGTAAGCGAGCAGGCCCTGGACTCCATGTCAGAGCCTGATCTGAATTTCTGATTCTTGACTCTCCCTGACATACAAAGGCTCCTCTGCAGCTTATGAAGCTGGGGATGAGTTTCCCTTGTCTGTCTCCAAAGAGAAGTATTTGAAATGCTTTCTGTTTATGGCCGTGAAGTCTTGGATGACCAAAAGCGAAGGCGGCATCTCTCTGCACATTGATTTTTTTTAGTGCAGGCTTACTGTCTGTGTGTAATTATTTTTACCACGCAGGTGAAGCAGGAAATTAAATAGGGCTTCTTTAATGAGGGGGAAAAACTAGCACCTGAAATGAAAGATCACAGGGGAGGGTGAGCAGGTAACCTGTTTGCAGATACTGTTCTTGTTTTAGGCCTCCGTGGCTGCTAAAAATGCATGTACCACCGCCCCCACCCCCACACATATTCCCACGCAGGTCTGGTTTTGCTTTCTCCTGGTTTCTCAGGAAAGAAAAATCCCCTAGGATCCTCTTTTTCTGTCTGCCTGACAAACCCAATAGGAAATCTACATTTATCCATAAGTGAGGGTGAGGGGTTTTCTGCTGTTTCATACGTGTTGTGTCTAATTCGTCGATCCTGGGGAAAGCGGAGGCCCTGGGGGAGGTGAATTCGCCTCTGCAAGGCCGGGTACCCGCCGGCCACACGGAGGTGCTGGATGGTGAGAACAGGAGCCCACTGCTTTCCCCGGAGGAAACAGCCTGCTCCTCCCACCAGCCGCCCTTCTCCACTTTCAGACGGTAGGAGAGAAGCCTGGAGCTTCAAAAACAAGGCCCAGGGAGTCAGATTCCCACCCTCTCCAGGGTGGGAAGGGCCGGTTTGGCCATTTCCGTGTAGCACCTCGGGGACCAGCTAAGTCCGCCGGGGCCCCTGGGGTTTCACAGGCTCAGACACACGGTGATGCTAAGTCTCTCTTGTGCCCAAACAGACACGGAGCCGTGGGACTCAGGGTTCTTCTAGAAAGCCCCCAGTGAGTGTTTTCCTTCTCTCGAGTCAGCCCAGTGCGCAGGGATGTGGCCTGGCCAGGCCCTGCCCTGGGTGTCAGCGGCCAAGTCCACGGCCCTCTCTCACATCGGGGCGGCTCCCCTGGTTTTGAGTTGCCGGGTAAGGGATAGGGGATAACAAAAAAGTCAAGGTTCAGCTCCCAAACCCAAGCCGCTCGCTCCTTTCCTAATTCTTAAGAAGCTGGCACTTGTCTTTGGATCAGCTCTGCTCCCAACCAGGCCTCATTTGCTCTGTCTCCCGACTGGAGGCAAGAGTGTGTCTCTTGCTGGCTTCCAGCTCCGGTCTGCCAGGCCTGTGCATTCTGTTAGGACAGGAACCCCCCGCCTCACTCCAGCTCTCCACTGCCATGTCCTCATTGTGGGTGACAGCCAGGGCACGTGGGGGCATGGTGACTCTGGGGGCCGGGGGGTGGTGAGGGGCGGGACTCGGCTCACAGGGGTGGGTGAGGGTAACTACTCTCTGAGGGGACTCGAGCCACTCTGCCTCGGGAACATACCCCGAAAGGCAATGATCCCCCCTACCCCGGCGAAGCCTTGTGCTTCCTGGGAGAGGCAGCCTGGGCCTGGGCAACAGGGTGGTGCCAGAGTCGGGGCCGCTGGGATCCTGCCAACGACTCCTCCCTGCATGGCTGACCTTGGTCTCTTTCCTTCCTGACACCTCCGTTTCTTCCCAGGACAGGGGAGGCGGTCATGCATACTCCCGAAAGGTGGAGCCTCCTCCCAGAGGGCCCGTGTGGCCCACCCAGAGGTACTGCTCAGCCAGCCTGGTGGGCAGCGAGGCCAGCGCAGGCCTGTGAGAGCAGCCCCTGCCGCGGCCCTGCCTTCGTCCAGCACAGGGGGCCAGGCAACGGCCAAGCCAGTCCCCTGTGGCCAGAAGGAAGGGGCCCTTCCCAGCATCCTGCTACACCCTGGGGGTGGGGGTGGGGGCGCTGGCCACCGTGCCGCTGCTTTGCTACAGCCTGCCAGCTCTCTGCCTGGAGACTTGCCTGTGGTCACAATGTGTCACCTCCCAGGAGATGTTCCACTTTTCAAGCAGGTGAGAAATGAACCCAGTTAAAAATAGTAGACTGGACTGTTCACAGAGTCTCCTTGTAAAGTAAAACTACTGTGCTCCTCCAAGTGGCAAAAAGTTCCACCAAGGACTCAGGCGGTGGGGGCACCAAAACCCCCCGCGGGCTCCTGCGTGGCGCCCCGGAGCCCAGAGCAGCCAGGGCTCGGGGTCACCGCTTGACTGAGCTCCAGCCACCAGCACAGCCCTTGCGCCATGGCCGCGGGCCAGCTCCCTGGGTTCACCTCAGTGACCGGGGGCCGCTGCGGCCGTCCACACCCTCTCCCTGCTGTCCTGCTCCCTCCAGGGCTTCCTGGAGCTTTCTCAGAACCGTGGACGCATTCCCAGTGGGAATCGTGACATTTTCCGTTTCTCATCACGCACCCCACAATGCCTCGGGAAGAGAGAGGGGAAGGGAAGGGAAACAAGGCCCGGGCGCCAGCCCCTCTCGGTCCACCGCCGGGCCGGGGCCCCTGCTTATCCCGGAGTCACCTCCCCGGAGCTCGGCGCTGGCTCCTTCCGCCTTTCCTATCTGCTCCTGGGGCACATCTGGATCCAGGCGTGCCTCCCGACTTTGTTGTGTTTCTTTTAAAACTTTACTTTCCACTGCCATGGTAACCGCTGCATGTTTGGCAAAGGGAAAGGGGGGGGGGAGAGCTGGGAGAGAAGAAAAGGAGCCCTGAGCGCGGGGCTGGCGGCCGTCCAGGGTAATATGCCGCAGAGCCGAAATGAGGCCGCTGGCCGGCGGCCAAGTTACAAAGAACAAAGCTGTCAGTTCCTCCTGTTGGCGGCAAAGCCTGTTTGGCACCCTTATATGGTTTCCCAGAACTCCCTGCCTTGGCCGCCGTCCACTCCCTTCAGGGCAGCAAACAGGATTAGCTGAGCTCTGAGCTGTTTTCCTCTCCTCTCCTCCAACTGTTCCAATGACATCATCCCTGCTGCATTCATTTGCCAGCAGGGCGGTTTTTCTCTCTCTCTCCCCACCTCCCTCCCTCCCTCTCTCCCTCCATCTCTCACACACTCACCTCCACTCCCACTTCCTTCCTGTGGCCCGCCCCCCCCCCCACCGCTTGCTCAGAAACGCAATGTTTTAGGTCATCTTTCTTGTGCAGCTTCTCCGCCAAATTAAAAACGCCCCGTGCTTGTACATTTAGCTGAATCAAGCCAGACGTTGTATTTTATTTTTATAACTGAATTCCTGTGAGATAAAAATCTCATTTTCCTTCGCAGGCTGTAATCAGCTCTCGCAGGGCTGTGGTTTCCAACTGCCCCGTCTCGTGCTTCCTTACGAAGCTGCTCTGCTGAGAAATGAACTTGGCTCCCGTTCTGGTTTAAAGGGCCCGCAGCCGGTCATACGTTGCCGGTTCACACGCACACACACACAGTGTGCACACAAAGACCATAACACTCAGACATACCCACCGAGACAGATGGACACACAATTGGTACCCAGGGTCACTCCTTGCCTTTTGAGAAGGAGACTAGGTGAATAAGTGAAAGCCAAAAGCTGCTTCCGACAAGGCTGGTTTCAACCAGCGGGCAGGCAAGCATTATGTAACTCATAGCTGGGTTCATGAAAGGGATGGAGAATCATCGAGGTTCGCCGGCTGCACAAACGCGACCCCGCCCCCACCGCGCCCCTCCCCACCTCACTCTGATTCATGAACTAGTTTTCAGATTCATGAATCACTCGGGAGCCAGCGAGAGAAAAATGAGTCGTATTGATCTTGTTTCAGCTGAAATGGGCTCATTATGGCCATGCTGGGTGCGGACAGCTTTCCAGGACCAGACGTCGGCTCATCAGCACCCGAGGGCTGCGGGGCAGCGGCCCTCATCTCCCCACCTGCGGGAGGGGCGGGGATCCCTGGGCACAGACTTCTGCAGAGGGTTCCCCTTCTTCTTACGATTAAATGTGCATAATGAGGTCTGCTCAGACCAGGGACTGTGGCTGGATTTCACAGTCTTCCTTGGGCAGGTCTCTGGCCTTGCTTTGGTGTCCTCCATCTTTTTGTTTGTTTGTTTGTTTTTGTTGTTGTTTCACTTTCAATGAAATCTTTTAAGAGACATCTCAGTGCAAATTCTTTTCTGGATTTCTGATGACTTCTCATGGACTCCCTAAAATAGAAATTAATCTTCTACTAGGTGAATTCAAGTTCCAATCTGATTAGAATGTCTTGGGGTTCCTTTCTTTGTTGGTTTTAAGGCAAACATGTAGCTTTTACCCTTTTTAGTCCCTTTGCATGTTCTTCAGCAAAGAAGGTCTGGGGAATGCGGAATCCTCTAGATTTGGGGCAATCAGATTTATGTAAGGAAAGACTATCCTCCCGCCGGCCTCACTGGATGACTGCCATCACATGGGGTTTCTACGTGACGGTTCTCTCACTGTTGAGGAGGTGGGCACTGAGCCGTGGTCCAGTGGCATCACAGATGGGGGCCTTCGGTCCCCGGGCAGGTTGATTGAGGTCTGGCCACTCCTCTCCAACTGTTTTTCCTCCATCCCCTTGAGTTCCAGCTCAACCTCCATCCGTTTTGACATACACCCCCCGCCCCCCGCAAGCCCAGCCCAGGCCAACATGTCAGACTCGTCCGCATGGCAGGGGATTCTTTCTGTTCCTCTCTTGAACGCTGCAGTTTGGGCTGTCATGTGTAAGCAGATCATGCTCGGTGACTGGCTTTGATTTGGCTGCTTTGAAATGGGATTTTGTGGGGTTTCTGCTCCCAGGTCTCCTTCACCACCCCTTCCCTCCCGGCCCTGGGAGATTTAAAACAACCGACTGGACATATGCTTTTCAGAAAGCTCACGAAAGCTGGCAACCAGCACCAGAAAAGGATCCGATCCTAATCTGCATAATTTTGGATCCAAGGGTTTGGAAGTGAGACGCTCATCCGTTGACTTCAGACGCACAGTCGTGCCGTGAGAGGCATTGAACTTGGCAGGGATTCCACAATGTGACCTTGCTCCCTTTTATTTCTGCAGTGCCCAGAGGAACTGGAAGCAGCCCAAAGAAGGGGAAAGGAGACGCGTTTGTGTGAATTTCAATCAGCAGTTGGTTCAGAGGCAAAAAGAAGCTGCCTTGCGTTCCGAGAGGTCCGCGCGAAGGTGCCTTTCAGCTCTGAGCTGCCAGAGCATTCTGGGGCTGAACCTACAGCCAGCTGGAGTCCTGAGCCTGCCCGGGGCGCCACGGGTTAAACCACTCCCGTGAATGTGCTGGCTGGCCTCAGAGCAAACGGGGATAGTGGGCTGGCTCGTGTTCTGCACTAACGCATTGGCTTTTTTTCCACTGCAGCCTCCCATTCTCTGATAAACCTGAGTTGCTAGGAAAGCTTTATGTAACACCCGTCGCCGGCCTCAGCTTCTCTGAGCAGCAAGTGTTCTGTTTCCAGAGTTCCCCATAAACCTGGCAGAACATCAAAACCTCTGTTTCATAACAGACCAGAAATAGGATTTTCTAATAACATTCTGAGGACTGGACTTATCGTGCAGGGGTCTGGACTTTTATGAATTGTTAATGGTTAACTAAACAGAGACCTCCACGATGCTCAACCTGCTATCTCTGGGGTCGAGGAGGGGAGGGGAGTCGGAAGAATGTGGTGTCTCCAGCCACGATCTGTTGGTTCGTGACCTGTGGCCCCTTTCAGAGAATTTGCTAAATAATCTCAAACATATTGAGGCTCTCACTCATGTTTTAAAAAAAGAACAGGAGGGAAAAAAGCTACCCTCTTCCTGCTCGTTTCTTCATTCATGGAGAATGTGGTTTCCTCTTATTTTGTTGCCAGGTACGCTGACAGTGACAGACGTCACCCCCAGCTTTCCTCTGGGATGGGCAGCGCTCGTCACTGGACACACCTAGTGTGGGCGATCCAATTCTCCCTATGCAACACACAGCTGCACAGCTAAACCTCAAACCCGCGAACTGTGGGCTGATGGAGGGACTGCTGCAGGAAAGAAGGCAGCATGAGGCGACCTCGCCCTCCTCCCTCACATCCAGGGCTCACCTCCCTGGCCGGCCACCCTGCCTGGTCCGGTCCTGGTTCAGATTGTGACAGGGATAGGAGTTCCCTCCAAAAGGCCATTTGCAGTCTATTTAGCTGTCTCTTGGGAGACTTCTTCCGGGGTTCCAGCTACATATCCCTTTGTTCCATGTCGTCAGGTCTGTCTTCCTTCGGGTTCTGCCTGGACCGTCTTTCTTCTGCCCTCCGTGTGCTGTCAACACATGAGCATCACTTCAAAACAAAAGTAGCCCCAGGAAAGCGCGACTGTTGAGGGCAGGGCTTGGGGTCAGTCAGGCTCACTTTTGGGGAGGATTCGGTGTCACTGGAGGCACAGCTGCCTCCAGCAATAAGGGGATGCTGCGAGAAGATGCGGCCTCGCAGCTCCCCGCCTCCCCTCCTGCATCCCTGCCGTCTCCCAGCCGTTTCCCCCGTCAGCTCTCTGGACTCCTCTGAACACCCCAGGGGAGGCTGAGCTGCGCTGCACGCGCCCCCCCCCCCAGCCCTCGCTCCGCGCTCCTGTGTGCTTTCCCTGTTTTGAGCTTAATTGCCACCTTTCCCTCCCCGGCCTCCTCAAACAGCTCCCGCATTCCTCTCCCTTCTCATTTTCGGAACTTTGGTCCCCAGAGGCACCAGCTCAGGACTCTGCAGGACGGTCCTCACTGACTGTTTCCTCCGCTGTCACAGACGTGATTTCTCCGGCGTCTCTGGTGTTTGTGGCTCTTTCCTACTTGGTTTCATCAGAGTGTAATTTACCTGCTATTTACCCTTTCTTCTGGATCCCGAGCAAAAATGATAACGAAAAGCCTCCTGTCCCGTCACGGCTGTGCCCGTGCCAAGCAGGGCCCTCGGGAAGCCCACCCACCCACATGGCTCCATGGAAACCAGCCAGAGGGGCTTCGCTCCCAGGGTGAGATTTAATATCCCTGAGATCCATTTAGTGTCTGGACACCTGGTTGCTATGGAGATGGTTGTCATAAAAACACACCGATCAGTGGAGAGATAGAAAACCGGGTCCGCGGTACCCGATCAGATGCGGTAGCTCAGAGGAAGGGCTGCTTACCGCCTCCCTTTGTTGACACAGGGCCTCTGCCTTTCAAACTCATCCTGGGAGACCTTCTCAGAACCAGGCCAACGCAAATCCACTTCAGTTAGTATTTCGTAAGGGACAGTCAAGGGCTTCACTAAATGCCAGATGCCCCATCCTCCTGTCCCGAGCTGAGTCAGCCCAGGAGAAGACGATGTTCCTCTCTGGCACAGTCTGTTCTCTGCTGTCGTTGATCCATCAGCCCAGCCGAGCAGGCAGAGTGAAAACTCTGACCCTGACGGCGCTTCAGACCAGGTGGCTGGGAGTGAGTAACAGGTGTGAGCAGGGAGGCCTTGGATGCACTGCCCTGTTTGCAGGGGCCCCCAGAGAGCAACCCAGGAGGTATTGTAGACCTGTGTCTGTCGTCTGCCAGCTCAGGATGGGTGATTTCATCAAGAGACACCAGTAAGGTGTGTAGTGTGTAGGCGTCCACTAACCACCTTCACCTCCTCGTCATCTGAAGTCTCAAAGCCTGCGTTCTGTGATCACCAGCTAAAGGTTAATCTCCCTCTTGGTCTGGTCTATGTGCAGAAACCAGGAAAGTATTTCTGTCCTCTCTCTTGACTGTGCAGCTCTGGGTGTAAAGGGGCAGGCACAAGGCACCCAGCGTAGCTGGAGTCCTTCTGAAATTTATGCTGGGTAGGGGGTGAAAGGAGGATTTGGGTTCCTATTTTTAGCTCTGCCCTCCTGGAGTAGGAAATGACTGGGGGGAAAAAAAAAGCAGCTCTGGTGGCAGCTGCACTGTGAATGCAGGGAAGGTTTGCTCTCGAGCCGGCTCCCATCAGCAAGCCTGCATCAGCACCTGAGATCTGGCCACCTTCTGTGCCCTGTCTTCTCTGGGAAGATGTCTGAATTCTGGAAATGGGTCATAACCTAGTCGTCGACCTGGTCTTCGATCTTCAACAACTCCCTTGATTACCCAGGGCCTCAGTTGCCTTCTAGTTTATCGGGGGCTGTATTTCTGTTTCTGTTTAATACCAAACAGCATTTCAAACTCCTTTTGCTTTGTGCATCTTCTCATACTGCCACTGAGAGAGGAGGTAAACATGAGATCCGGACTAATGTGTACAGCTCTGAGGACAGTGAACGCATTCATTGTGCACAACATTAGTATGAAATGCAATGTCACGTTCCTAGTACCCTGGATATACTGGATGGCATTAAAAATAATTGCCTCTAGAAGACAGTCTTATGGTTACCAAAGGGGAAGGGAGGGAGGGATAAATTAGGAGTTTGGGATTAGCAGATACACACTACTGTATATAAAAGAGATAAACAACAAGGACCTACTGTACAGCACCAGAAACTACATTTGGTATCTTGTAATAACCTATAATGGAAAAGTACCTGACAAAGAATATATAAATACGTGTATACCAGAATCACTCTGCTGTACGCTAGACACTAACACAATTGTGAATCAACTATACCTCAATTTACAAATACTGCTACTAATAATTGCCTCTTCGGTGTTGCAAATTCTTGCTCTAGTTCCACTAAACACCCTGAGATGCGGGTTGTTTCAGCCTCACATTTGCACGGCTTCTGTTCCTCTACACACTCCCCTAACACTGCCTTAGCAGTAGTTTACTGGCCACATCTTCATTGCGTCCCAATCCTCCTTACCCCATGTCTTTATTTTCCTCGTTTAAGATACTTTTAAAGAAGCCATTTAAAAGCTCAGCTAATGTGGAGCCGTCCAGCTTTCAACTCTCTCCTCATTCACTAAATGAGCCTAATTTTCCTTTTTCCATGCTCCTCCTGCGAACAACAACAAAAAGCAAACATGTTTTAAAAAGCACGCCCGATTCCCCTCAGTTCCTTGGCCGTCATTAAATCACTCAGCTTTCCTCTTTTGTTCTTTCTCCCTCCCTCATGCTTTTGCTGAAAACTTTAACTTAAGCCTGGTGTTCATTCTCACTCCCCCCCACCCCCGTGTCTCCATTTCTTGAACAAAGTCAAGAGGGAGTTGCTCTTTTGATCTTTCCCTCCACTACCACCCGAACCCCTGGCCCAGCTGAAAGCACATGGAGGGTTTCTTTTCTTTTCTTTTCTTTTCTCTCTCTCTCTTTTTTTTTTCTATTTTTTTTTTGTCCTGTTTTCGCAGGACCTGCAGTCTTGGCCCCACAATTATGGCGTCTTTCATGTTATCTTTCTCCCAAGGCAACAGCTCACATCCTGGCAAAGCGGACAATGGTGGTGTGTGTCTTTACTTAGCTTTTATACCTTTTGTTTCAAAATGCAGGATTTCCTTATGGTTTGTTTGGGCTTTTCAAAAAGCTTATTTACTGATCCAGAGAGGTGCCAGACTCACGCCCTGAAGAATACAGGCCAAGTTTATATGTCCCAGAAAACACGCCGTCATGTCCGGGCCCATTTGATGTTTCAGGGCCAACTTCGAGGCTGATTTGATTGCTGTGTGTTCCATCCTGTAGTTTGCCAAAAAAGTGGCTGTTAAAGCAGGCCAAAACCTCAGCTCCCTGAGCCTCTGGTAGAGAGAAAACAGGGCTAGAAATTCAGACCAGGATAATGGCTGAACGGAGAAGAATGATGATTACATTTTAAATTATGACCTTGTTTATGTGTCGGTGGGTAATTCTAATCATTTGTTTGTTAAAATGAAGCTCCCTTGTCTTAATTAAAACTTGGGATTTAGAAAATTTATTCAACTAGACTTGAACTTCACATTCCTATATTTTGTACCAAAGCCCTAGCTTTACGCAATATTTTCCACACAATACAATCTTTTCGAAGGTGAACACTTCATTTGAGACGTGAGGTCATTTTAGGAGAGAGATGATGTGATCGTCACGACAGACCCCCAGACAGGACCCGGCGGTGTGAGTGTATTGCAGGTTTACTTAATTATCTCTAATCAATATGGCTCTCCACATTTGTTTTCTTTGAGGCCAATGTGATAGCGTTGCCCAAGGAGCCCTGGGGAAGATTCGTCAAGAACACACATACACACACGCACACTCACAGAAACAAAGGGCAGTCTTGTTCCACTGCCTTCATCACAGAGCCACGGGACGTGCCCTTGGGAAGATGAAATGTTGGTGGGGTCTCCATGGTGCGGAGCCAGGCTTTGGGCCAAGAGCAATTTTGGGAACTTGGATCTTGGTGACGTAAGAAGATATAAAAGGCTAGATCCAAGGAACTTTTCCAAGAAGCCTGACTCTGCTCTGGGTTCATACTTGATTCTTATTCCTGTCTGTGAAAGCAGTGTATCCAGCGGTTCCTCCTAAAACTGCTCCTTAAAACATCACATTCTCTGCCTGGAACGACCATCTCTGACATCCCACTAGCCTTTCCACCCATTGCTTAAGGTTTAAATCAAATCCCACCTTCTCAGGGAGACCTTCCTCAATCTTTACTTCAAATGAGTTGGATTTTGTTCTGGGCACCCAGAGTACCACCCACTTCTTCTCAAGCGTTATACCTCCTGTTATTTCCTGACTGTGAACAAACTAAATGGTGGTCAGCAACTTGAGAGCAAGGATTGTGTCCTTTTCCCCCCAATCCTAACCTGTGTGCTACATTCCGCTCTGTCCAGAATTTATGATTTTGCATTTTGACGTGTCTGTCCATCTGTCTCTCTGAAACCACAGAGGGAAAGCCCTTTGGGCACGTGGGCTCTGTCTTGTTTATCTTTATATCCCCAGGGCGAGACAGATTGTCTGTCACATTGAAGGTGCTCCGATGCCCGTGGTGTGATTGCAGTTGTCTGACCTGCAGACAGAGTGCAGAATGTCCACACAGCCTTCTCAACCCTATACCTTACTCACACCTTCCTTGTTGTCTCCACTCAG